TGGTTTTAGTGTTCGGGCACGTAGGTACACATGTCCGAAGCCCAACGCGTGAATTCCGTTTTTCCGAGTTCGACACGACACCCCCGTTTTTGCGTTTAACGCGATTTCACGGGGGTCGGGGGCCCGTTAAACGGATGAACGCGCGTTCAATTTTTCGCGTTCTCCGTTAAAAAGATACACAGTGCTCGGTCCAATCACCCCTCTGGATTCCAACACGTCTCCTCCGGCCAATCGCCGCCGCGTAACAGCCCATAACGACCAGCAGCTGTATACTCTAACATGCAGCAGCCATTCGTTCCCAGTTAGCAAGGGTATCAGTTGTTCGTGCAGCCAGGCAGCCAGCCGCTCGCGCACGACCAGCAGCAACAACAACAGTTTGTATGTGCACAGTCAACGGACGCAGCACTCGTGCGCAATCAACCCGCAACAACAACAAGTCACGGCAGCCAGCCATAGCAGTTCGTGCGCAGGCGCAGCAACAACTCATGCGTAATGAACGGGAATAGCACCGGCGCACGGTCAACCGGAGCAGCGGTATGCCGTAGTCACATGGCCCCAAACAACTGCTCTTGAAGCAGCGCAGCAATTCGCAGCAAGCCCAACCATTGTTGTAGCAAAACGTTCAGTTACAAGTGAACGACAAATATACAGCAGCGGAACGCCCAACACCCGACCAACGTATCTGAAACCAACGGCAACATTCGCCTGCGCCAGCATACCGGCTCAAGGCGCCGGACTCCAATGCTCAACCCCAACGTGTATGCCACCGACCCTCACTCGGCGAATAGGTTCCGATCCTGTACTTTGTTCCCAGTTGCTTCCGCTGTCATTAGCGTGAGCCTGGAGGGACCTACTGTCGAAACCCGTCCGGCTACGCTCCTTCTACTCCCTCTAACTACACAGGCGACGCCCCTGCCACGGTTCTTCTTCCATCCCCCGATAAGTAATCCCCCTCCCCCTCTCTGCCTTTGTTCGAACTTCCCCGGGGCATCTCCACCGAATCGTACCATCCCTCGCTGTCGTTCCCAGCGTGACGACACCTGGCCAGCATTCTGGCCAGGACCAACCGGGCGCAAGCTCACGCACTGGGCGCAATCCAAACTCGTCGTACCTGCCAAAAACACACCGTCGCCCCCAGGTCCAGTAGCGCTATCATACTCACAATGCCCCAGAACCCCAGCTTGTAATCTTCGCTCGCCTAATCCCACTTTGGAACGGCCAAGGTACGTGCTCCTTCCCTCATGCTCTCTCTCTCCCCCCACACTCCACCATACCTCGGCGCACCCAGCTCCTCACTAACCTTTCTTCCAACCTTTCTGATGCTAGAACTAACTTCGAAATCGGTGTCGCCTGGCCTTAAAACCCCGGTTTCGAGCCTTTGTTCCTTCGTTTTTGTCAAGAAACGAACGAACTCAGCTTTTATCTCCCCCGTTCCTCTTCGCTTCCGCCATAGTTTCTCGCACCCCTATCCTTTTTCTACTCTCTCTACACTAACTTCCTCGTAGATCTGGTCTCAGATTCGGGGTCGCAGGCCCCGAAAAACCCCACTCAGAGTCTTCTCTCGCCCGGATTCATAAAGAGTCGGGCGTGATAACATCTTCGCTGTCCACCACAGCCTTGCCCCCCCGCCACTACGTTCTTCCCTTTCGTTCCGCGTGCACCTGGCGCGTTTCCGCGCCCGGGTTCGTCCCCTTTGCTCGTAGTACCCCGTTCTGCTTCGGCCCGTCGGCTTCCTCAACCCGACAGCGCCGGATGCAACTCAATCCCGCTTAGACGAGCGCGCTACGACCTCCTTACTTCGCTACCTCGCCCTCGTCTTCCCGTTGCCGTCAACCATCATCCTACTGCGACACAATCTCTGATACCTCGGGCGCCGAGCGACTAATCTGACATCACTCGAGTGCCAAGAGCAAAAAAAAAACGGCTGCCGGCCTCCCCTACTTTATCCCTTTTTGTGCTTGCACGCCCCAGGCCCCGCCCAAGTTCACTCCCGGTCTCTACTCACCGCCTCGAATGCCCCGAAAGACTCGACCGGGGTAGTGCCCCGTGGCGGCGCCAATGGTCGCCCGGCCCAACCTGTTAGCGAGGAGGGGGACGAACCCACCCTCCTTGCCTGTCGCACCCGCCTGGCCCCCGTAGCTTTTCAATAGAAATCTGGGCACCCAACCTTGGTACCGCGTCCCGAGTCAAATGGGGCCGCGAATTATGGTGACAACGATAAATAGAAATAAACTGAAAACAAAGATAAAATGAAATAACATATATATATAAAATTCTAACCAAGGAGCGGGAATCGCTGGTAACCCACCGGTCCCATGGACCGGGTCCGTAGTCGCGCCCACCACCAAAACCAAGGGAGGATAGCCTGGTCAGGCCCTCAACCCCCTCAGTTTCCTCCACAACGCTCCGCCGCTGCCGCGCCGACGCCCGTCGAGCTCGATCGCTGAACCTCCATAGCAATAATCCAGTACCGTAACCCATAGGGCTAAGCCCAAGCCTGGCACAGTAACGCGCAAACTTCCATATGAAGTGGTGCCACACCGTCCCTAGGTCTGGGAAAAACAGCCCAGGCCTTCTCTTCCTTCCAGCAACTGGCGCGCCAACACCCGACACCCGCGCCGGCCTACTTGGACCCTGCCGTGGCCGCCCCGTGCGCCTACCGGCGTGCCAGTCCTACCGTCGGTCGTGCATACCAATCAAGAACGAACCCTTGCCCCTTAACCAACCTATGACACGATCCGGGTCTGCCGACTAGGCCGGCCGCCCGCTTAATCAGAAAAAATCACACGCG